GCTGTGAACGTGACGCTGGCACACCAAACAAATTCTGTAAGCAATTAAATTTGAAAACCTGTGTGCTTGAATTCAAATCAGAGCTGTTGATAATTGTGTTTTACAGTTTTCTTTCTCTTATTTTACCTTCTCATTTATATACTTCTTTTGGTAGTATTATTTCGAAGTATATGAAATTGCTGTTTTTTGTAGGTCAAAACAGTCAAATATCTGATTCATATAATTCAGTTAATAAATTTATATTAAATCAATAGGTGATCTTTAGCTTGTGTTCTCTCAAAACCTTTTGTTATTTTCATTTTATTTATTTAGCAAAGTTTTCCTTTTCTTATTTTCAGACCTGTTTACTGTCTGTAAGGGCTGGAGCTATATTATAAAACCAGATAAAGGCCAGGGTAGACCACATAATGAACCCTAAGATTCTAGAAATGGTCTATGGGCAAGATTTTCCTTGCCTGTTCATGATTGTTTTATGCTGCTTTTACCTGCTTTGGCATTATATGGAAGGATTTCCCATCTCAATTAAATCTAGACAGCCCTCAATCCTATTAAAGACCCTCCTGGAAGTAATCATTTTTTAAAAAACCAGCTTGGGTCTGTCAGTCATCCACATGTATAAGTTTATCAGACCTTTCTTCCTGAGTTTCTAGACCTCTTCTCAGTCACATTGCCAAGATCCTGACCTTGATGTGGTTATTCTTCAAGGTCTCTCAAACTTGATCCACTCGGTTTTTAAATTTAATACATCTCTATACCTATTTGTGCTTCTCTTCAGTAGGACAAGGTCTCAAAGTTTTTTCAGCTTACACCTTTAGTCTCATCTATTTCTGATTCTTAAGTGATTAAATTCCCACAAACTTCTTTCTAGAATATTCAGCACCCCCCCAACATTGGTTCCTTCCCTTTTGCCTTAAGCATGTATATTTTCCCCATTACGAAGATATATTTTTTAATATATTTTTGTATGTCCGTCATTCTAGTATCCATCAGCTTTTCCTCTTATTGCTTATTTTCTCCAAAGAATAATTGTGTTCATTATTTTCATTTTATCTCTACATAATCACTTAAGTTTTATCCTTATCAGTGGATGATACTGTCTTTGCAGAGATAATTACTAATGGTACGCCTAATTCCCTTTTTTCTCTAAAACTCTTAATTTTTTGGTTTTGGTTTTTTTTTTAAGTAAGCTCAATGCATAATGTGGGGCTTAAACTCACAACAATGTGTGTGTAGGAGTTGCACACTCCACTGACTGAGCCAGCCAGGCACCCCTGGTTTTGCTCTTGTTTTTGAAGCTGTTTTAGTTTAGGCTCTTATGGTGTTGGTTGGACTGTTTCAGAGGACTTCTAATTTACCTCTTTGCTTCCAGTTACTTTTAACTTTTCACTTTAATTTTCCACCATAGTGGCAGTTACCTTCCCCAAATATATTTGATTTGTTTCATTCCAGTCTTAAGATCTTGGACTTATTTCTAAGTACCTGCAGAAAAGTCCATTGTGTGCAATCCATATCAAAGTCTACAGCATGTGGAATTGCTCATTATTTTGGATCATGCCATTTACTCTCTTTGTATGGGTGGGTTATCTGTCTGAACTTTTTTTTACTCTTCTGTGAGAGTGGGATACTTTTTTAACCTTGTAAGACTAGTTCAGATGTCACCTCTGTGAACTAGTCTTTCCCAGTTCTCCCGTTTAAATTTAATCACTGCCTTTCTTGGAGTGCTCCCATAACACCGCATTGACCTCTACCATAGCACTTATCACATATAATTTGTAGGTGGCAGTTAGGGGTGGTTAACACTTAAAAGTTTGATAAAATTACATGATAAAAGTTACGAGTTGTTTCCTCACCTTGAACTTAGATTTGTCTAAAACCTAAGGCAGATTAGATTGTAGCTAAAGCAGTGGTATTTACATATCAAAAGATAGAATAATTTTTAGATAAGTTTTTTTTTTTTTAAGATTTTTTATTTATTTACTCATGAGAGACAGAGAGAGAGAGAGAGAGAGGCAGAGGGAGAAGCAGGCTCCCAAGGAGCAGGGAGCCCGATGTGAGACTCGATCCCAGGACCCTGGGATCATGACCTGAGCCGAAGGCAGACGCTTAACCATCTGAGCCACCCAGGCGCCCTTTAGATAAGTTTTTATCTAAGGAAAGAGTGTGTCAATTGGAATGCAGTTTTATCGGTTGAAAATCTAGAAGTTTCAATAGCCAGAATTGAATGTATTTATCTAGAACTATTTAGGGTTGAGAGTATTTCACACTTTAGCTATTCTGTATATTTCTTCTTCTTTCCTTTTTTTTTTTTTTTTTAACTTTAGCACTGCCTGAAGGAGCTATCCCTCAGTGCTACCCTTTGATCTAAATCACTACCTCCCTTGAGGAGCCTGGGTAGCTCAGTTGGTTGAGTGTCCGACTTCTGATTTCGACTTTTGATTTCGGCTCACGTCATGATCTTGGGGTCATGGGGATCGATCCTGGGGCTTTGTGCTCAGCACAGAGTCTGCTTGGGATTCTCTCTCTCCCTCCCTGCTGTGCCTCCCCCATGCCCCTTCCTCTGCTAGTTATTATGGGCTCACTCTCAAAGTAAATAAAATCCTAAAAAATAATTTATTTTTATTTATTTACGACTCACCAAGCAGCCTACTTAAAATTTGACCTCCAAAGGATCATTAAGACAGTAATCCAGTGGAACACTTAATGAACTTGACCATTTGATCCACTTGATAGTTTGTTTCATTGTAAATTAGTTGATAAAATTGTTACAACTTGATTATTGTCAGTTTCATATAGATTGATTGTACCAGCAAAGCATGTATTTTTTGTGTTCTGAAAAGCTGAGGATGTAGCCAAGTTGCTGTCCTTGGGAGACCTACCTAAGGCTTGTTAGTCCACTTCTTGAGTTTCCTTCAGTCTACAGTTTTCCTGCCCAGTGGCTGTAGGATTCTACCAGTCACCCTGACTAAAACATCCTGAAATAATCTTTGAAATATTCCTCATTTTTATTCTACCATTTTCTTTCATGTTCAGTCACACTCAAAGTTAATCTAATTGGTTTCCTTCTTACATACTTTTATCTTTTTTTCCCCCAGTTTCAACTGCTTCTACCTTAGTCTTAGGTTTTCTCTTTCATTGATTAATATATTGCTATGTCTCATTTTTCATATATGTTACTTGCAGTATTTCTTCCTCATACCTCTGCTTAAAAGTGTTCCAAGGTGATCTTTTTAAACACCTCAGCTAAATTTGTCCTCTTGGTTATAAAGACTCAACAATGTAAAATTTTGTTTTCATCTTATTTCTCACAGTTCTTTGCCATATGATACCAAAGTTTGTTTTGGTTGAGCTAGGATTTTCGCTATCCCATGGTTACTCTATGTTCCTATTTGTCATTTAGCCTGGAATTCCCTTTTATTCTTCACCTCTGATTTCAGTTTTCATGTTAGGTTTCATCTACTCGAAACTTTCATATTCAGTTTTTTCAATTTTTATAAGTTTTGTTCATAGTACTATGCAATTTTATGCTGCAATATTGCCTTAATATATTTGTTGTTACCTAGTATGATAATCTTGGATTTTAAGTTCTGTTAAGACTGATTCTTTTGTAGTGATGCCTTTCATTCAGTCGTTCAGCAAATATCAAATGCCCTATTACGTGCCTTGACCTATTCTAAATGTCACTGCGCTAAGTATTTGGGATATAATAGTCAGTGAAACTCAAAATTACTTTGCCAAGTTCTTGATAACAGCCAGCAAGACATTGGATATATGTTAGGCAGACAGCCTGTACTTGTAACTTAAATTTTTGTTTGCTTTTACTATATATAGATATAAATAATTTCTATAGTGACATGAGTTGGACTTACATGATTTTAGCAGTTTGAGTGAGACCCTAACTCATTTGTCACATGATATATAGTTCTTAGCACCAAAGTAAAAGACACCAGCTATGCTAAACGTAGTAGCAGTACATGAGAGCTTCCTCTCATGCCTGAGCTTAACTGTCTTGATGCTGCTGGGTTAGCCCTCATCCATTCTTTACATGCTATTCAGAGCGATTTTTCTTAAATACTGATTTGATACTACTATCCATGGGTTTCCTGTAGCCTTCAGATTATATTCTAAACCCCTTTCGTTTTGATGGCTCACCAGACTGAGTTCATTGGGTCTTGACTTAGGCTTTACCTTTTTCCAGAATGTCCTTTCACAGCTTTTTCCTCTTAATTTTCTCTCTCTCTCTCTCTCTCTCTCTCTCTCTCTCTCTCTCTCTCATTTTGCTGTGTTCTCAGAATCTTCTGCCTATCCTCTCATCACTTTGTATCATAATGGTCCCATTTACTCTCCTAGTTCCCTGGCTGCTCATTGGTGGCAGGGACTGTGTTATTTCTCCATATTGCGTTTGAGTGATCCAATGATTAGCACGTGTACTTCGTTGCTCATCAAATGTTAATCGAATGCACTGAATTGATTTAGTGGAAAAAACATTAGGTTGGAAATTAAGGGTCTGAGTTTTGGATAAATCTATAACTTTGATCTTTGTTGTAAATTGTTCAGAGATGGTTTAAGTGCTCAAAGTGTGAATTCTAAGTTTTATGTAAATCTAGGTTGAAATAAAACTTAGACCTTTAAATTATTTGAGCGTCGTTAAGAAGTCTATCTCAACACGTTTAGCTATCCCTAAAATGTAAACAGTCAAGAGACAAAAAATAGGAAAGTCATTAGGTAATGGGGTGCTCTGATCGGATGGTCCGGTGTCCAGATTGGATGGGGGCCGGCAGCACAGACCGTAAAAGAATTCACCAGTGGGCGAGACAGCAGAGCGGAGACTGCGACTAGGCTGTTGTGAGGGGCAGCATTTTTAGGGCAAAGTAAGGAAGTATGAGGACATACGGAATTTTCCCCCTTTTTGGGAGTCTTAGGAACTGTGCTTGGTTGTAATTGGTCAGTTAGGGCTTGCAGTTGTTTTGAGGTGGGTGCTTAATGAGCCTGTTCTCATTCAGGTTGGTGGTCTCTCTGGACTCTTTTCCATTGCTCAAGCCTGTTGTCTAAAAGCAGCCTGTACAGGTAATATCCTCTTTCCTTTTTCTCCTTTCTAACTTATTCAGGGAGATTATACTTGAAATCATTTGGGCTGGTCTGAGTCCCAAGTATATATGCAAATATGCCTCCTAATGGTAAACAGTGTGTACTTTGTTTCAGTCTGTCAGCAGGAGAGCTAGTTTAATGAAACAAAACAAAATGTCAACTCCACTGAGTCTGACAAGGTATTCCAAGTTTGAATTTTAAAATTGTAGCACTTATATTTAAGTTTTGGTAGTTTTATTTTCAATATTGACAAGTAAGATAAAATGTTGATATCTGATATATTTTATTTCTTGGAGGATTGTTTAATCTTCCTTGATAAGAACTTTTTTAACCTACCCAGAAATGATTACTGACAAAAACTGAAATGATTATTCTTCTAGAGACTTAAAGGCAAATAACTTTATCTTGCTCTTCATGGCCTCAGGTTAATAGATATGGAAAGGTTGAAACCGAAGTTGCCCTAGTGTTTCACCCTTCTTGGGTGCTTATGAGCTATTTCATAAATGACTTTTCTCAGTTATAGTTATCAAGAGAATCAGGGCCTAGGGGCAATGAATCTAGACAGAAACCATCTCTTTGGTCAAGTTATTGTTTTGATACATTAATAAAAGCATTAAGGCTGCTTGAGTCAATGATCCATATGGTTATGTTTGAGTCTTCAGCCATGATGGACTTTGTAGCCTCGCTACATCTCTGCACAGTTTAACAGTTTCCTGTTGTGAAATATATGGTTGTTTATGGTCAAATTTATTTAATCATTCTCTTTAATTAAAAATGAAAAATATTTGGGGCTGACTCAGTCGATTAAGTGGCTGTCTTTGGCTCAGGTCATGATCCCAGGGTCCTGGGATCGAGCCCCGTACCAGGCTCCCTGCTCCGTGGGGAGCCTGCTTCTCCCTCTCCCTCTGCTGCCACTCCCCCTGCTTGTGCGTGCGCTCCCTCTCTCTCTGTCAAATAAATAAATAAAATCCTTAAAAATTAAAAAAAAAGAAATATTCAGGAAATTTTATTTTTAAGTTAGACAATTCAAAATTTCTGCTTTTGTATAAACAGGCATTCGTAGGTTCTAAGTTGGGCAGTGAAGACAGGTTGTTAGAATGGTTTGTTTTTAAATTTCAAATTGTTGTGTCTCTTAGTTAATGAATACTTTTTATATTTTAATATGTTAATCCCTGGAATGTACACTGTAATTGCCAATTTCATAGTAATGTCTCAAAAGTTGGTCTAAATTTAGTATTCGTAGTCTATTAAATTGATAATATATAATTCTGTAAAATGATTGCCATTTTGAAAATCTATGGTCAGTATATACGAAAAGGGATAACTTTGGTGAAATAGTTTCCACATAATTTTACCTCTCTAAAAGATTAGATACATTCTAGAAAAGATTTATTGTCTTCTATTAGAAAGTCGGAAGAAGACATATAATAATGTGTTTAGCACAGTATATAGATGAGGCTTTGAGAAAATGTTTCTAACTTTGTTTAAAAAGGTGGAAGTGGCATAATAAAGGAATGGTATGAGGTTACATTTTTGCTTTGAACAGTTTTTTAGTCAAACATTAACTACTACATTGAGATTGGTGTTTGCCTTTTTTGGGGTTGTTGTCATTAATTCCTCCTTTGCCTCCATATTTGATAAGCCTCTGAATGCTTTTCTCTTCTGAGTACCAAAGATACCACTGTAATTTATTTTATTATTTTTTAAAAAAGATTTTGTTACTTGAGAGAGAGAGTGCGAGCACAAGCAGGGGGAGCGGCAGGAAGAGGGAGAGGGAGAAGCAGGCTCCCTGCTGGGGCTCAATCCCAGGACGTTGGGATCATGACCTGAGCTGAAGGCAGATGCTTAACCGACTGAGCCACCCAGGCGCCCAATACCACTGTAATTTAAAGTGTCATTATTTCTCTTATGGGTCATTGCAGAAACCTAGTTGATAGTCCTAATTTTAATCCAGTTTGCTGATTTTTGTTTTTTACTTTCACGTGATTAACATCTTCAGTACTGTGTCTACCAGTGATAGGCTCAGGGATTTGGAGTAAGAGGAGAGAGTTGAGCAAAATATCTCTCTTCCCCAGTTCATCACATTCCATCATATATATTTTCTGTATCGGTCTTTCTGAAATGCCATTTAATACCTGTAACATTTATTAGATATGACTAAGATATGATTTCTGGTATTAAGGAGCTTAGACTCTAATAAATTGGTGTATATGTTTGTGAGAGATTGTACTAGATGACTTGAAGATTCTGTGATACTATTACTTACTGCCTTAAAGACTAGATTGAGATTCACTTTGTCCACAAAACTTTCCCTGACTAAAAACTTATCTTCTGCTTTTAAGTCTATAATCTCAAATAAGCCAACCTTCTGACATACTTGTTAATATATTTCTTGGTCTTGTTCTGCCTGAAAGAGTTCTTTGTAATGGTATTCATTGTATGGAGATTGCAGAACTTCTATCACAAACTACACAGAAAATAGGATAGTAAATTCAAGTGATAGGAAATGTGGAAGTAGAAAGGTAAAAATGTAACCTTTGATGTTAGGTGAATACAAAAGTGGTCTGAACTTTAACCCAACTGGTAGAATATAAGGCAGTAAAATATCCACAGTAAAACCAGGGTTGAGACAGGTTTCAAAAGCATTTTAAAAGCAGTCCTGTTTAAGAGCCATTTTTTACTTTCTTTTTTTGAAGAACTGTCTGTTCATATTTTTTGCTCATTTTTAAATTAGGCATTTGGTCTTTTAGTACAGTAGTTACCCTCCTCCCTCCCCACTATCTGTGGTTTCACTTCCATGGTTTCAGTTACCTATGGTCAACCGTGGTCTGGAAGCAGATGATTCTCCTTCTGACATACCATCAGAAGGTCGATAGTAACCTAATACTATGTCACAGTGCCTATGACATTCATCTTACTTCATCTAATCACGTAGGCATTTTATCATTTCACATCATCACAAGAAGGATGAGGATAGTATAGTAAGATAACTTCTGAGAGAGAGAACACATGGATTTAACTTTTATTATGGTATGTTGTTTTAATTCTTCTGTTTTGTTATTAACAATTGTTAGTCTCTTACTGAGCCTAATTTATAAATTAAACTTTGTTGTAGGTATGTATGTATAGAAAAAAAAACATTGTGTATGAGAAAATGCTTAATCACTCGGCATCAGGGAAATTCAAATCAAAACCACAATGAGATACCACCTCACACCAGTCATAATAGCTAAAATTTACAAGTCAGGAAACAACAGATGTTGGCGAGGATGTGGAGAAAGGGGAATCCTCTTACACTGTTGGTGGGAATGCAAGCTAGTGTAGCCACTCTGGAAAACAGTAAGGAGGTTCCTGAAAAAGTTAAAAAATAGAGCTACCCTACAACCCAGCATTTGCACTACGAGGTATTTACCCCAAAGATACAAATGTAGTGATCTGAAGAGGCACCTGCACCCCAGTGTTTATAGCAGCAATGTCCACAATAGCCAAACGATGGAAAGAACCCATAGCATATACAGTGGAATACTACTCAACCATCAAAAAAATGAAATCTTACCATTTGCAACTGGATGGAACTAGAGGGTATTATGCTAAGCAAAATAAGTCAATCAGAGAAAGACAGTTATCATATGATCTCACTCATTGTGGAATTTAAGAACCAAAACAGAGGATCATAGGGGAAGAGAGGGAAAAATAAAACAAGATGAAATCAGAGAGGGAGACAAACCATAATAGACTCTTAACCATAGGAAACAAACTGAGGGTTGCTGGAGGGGAGGGAGGTGGGGGGATGGGGAAACTGGGTGATGGACTTTAAGGAGGGCATGTGATGTGATGAGCACTGGGTGTTACTTAAGACTGGTGAATCACTGACCTCTACCTCTGAAACCAATAATACATTATATGTTAATTAATTGAGTTTAAATTTTTTTAAAAAAGAAAAAGCTCAAAGGAAATAAAAAACATTGTGTATATAGGATTTGATACTATCCAAGGTTTTAGATATTCACAGGGGATCTTGGAACATATCTCCTGCAGAATGGGGGTGGGGGAGACTACTGTTGTTGATTTATAAGAACTCTCGCTATTTATAATATAAGGAAATTATCCCTTTATGATGTGAGTTACAAATGCCTTTTCCCAGCTTGTCATTTGACATTATTTATATTCTCTATTACAGAAATTTGATTTTTTTTAATTAATGAAGTTTATTTTTTAGAGCAGCTTTAGGTTCACAACAAAATTAATGGAAAGCACAAGAAAGTTCCTGTATACCCTTTCCTTGTACATGCTCAACCCGCGCCTCCCCCCCACTGCCTCCTCCCCGCCCCCCCCCCCGCATCACCGGTTCACTCCAGAGTAGTACATTTGTTACAGTGATGAACAGTCAGTTCAACAGTTTGTTATAATCAATGAAATTTGATTTTTTTCTACTTATTTTTTGGTCTTTTATCACTTAGGAGACGTCGTTTTTTGAAACTTCTTCTCTGTCTTGAAATTTAAAAACTTATCTTAAAGTAAAAACTTAAAAAAGTTATCTTACAATAGTAGTAATAACAATGACAATAACAACAAATAGTACTAATACATATTGAACTTACTCTGTATCAGGCATAATTCCTAACCAAGTTAGGTAGGTTGAATTAGTAGCTTTATTTTATAGGAGAGGTAATAGAGGGACAAAATGTTTAAATAGGGGCGCCTGGGTGGCTCAGTTGGTTAAGCGACTGCCTTCGGCTCAGGTCATGATCCTGGAGTCCCGGGATCGAGTCCTGCATTGGGCTCCCTGCTTGGCAGGGAGTCTGCTTCTCCCTCTGACCCTCCTCCCTCTCATGCTCTCTGTCTCTCATTCTCTCTCTCTCAAATAAATAAATAAAATCTTTAAAAAAAAATGTTTAAATAACCTGTGAAAAGTCATGCAACTAGTAGATGGCTGATTCTTTCCCAGGCAGTATGGGTCTAGAATCCATGCTCTTAAACCTGTACTCTATACTACTACTTTTTAAACACTTTTGTATTTTTTTATGTACTTTTTTTGTGTGTTAGGTTTGAGGTAGGAATTCAACTTTATTTTTGGACTGCTTGGATAGAGGGAAGAGCTAGCAAAGAGGAGTATGAAGAATTGATCGTCATGGTATGAGTAAAGCAAGGCATGTGGTAGACCTTGTGGGATATTGCTGTGATTTAAGATAAAGGTTATTTGGCAAGATGAAGTGATCTTGATGGTAGATGTTTCAGTGGAATGGGCTGAAGCACAAGTCAAATGGGAACTGTGTGGGGACATAAGAACACAGAAATAGTGAAAACAAGTCTTTTGTCAAGTAGCTATGAATATGAAGGAGGAGGGCTATGGAATGAGGGAAAATTACTGTTTTATTTCAGAAAGATGAGAGACTTACAAATGCTACAAAGCTGGTAGGAAGGATTCAGATACAGAAGAGATTAAAGAAAATATAGTAAGTAAACTATTCAGTGGTTGAGGTTCCTGAAAATCAAGAGAGGATGGACTCTGAAGCACAGATGCAGGGATTTGTGTAGAAGATGTTCCGTTATTTCTAGAGGGTGCAGGAAAAGATGGGTGCAGATACAAATGATTGTGAGCTTGTTGGTAGCAAGTGAGAGTTCTCATTTGATGGTGTTTCTTTTCTTTTTTTTTTTTTTAAGATTTATTTGAGAGTGGGGGGAGGGCCAGAGGGGGAGAGAGAATCTCAGGCAGACTCGCTGCTGAGCAGGGAGCCCCATGTGGGGCTCGATCTCACAACCCTGAGATCATGACTTGAGCTGAAATCAAGAGTCAGATGCTTAGCTTATTGAGCCACCCAGGCACCCTGATGCTGTATATTTTCTTTGTGAAGTACAAGATGTCCTCTACTGAGTGGAGAGTTAGAAGTTTGAGGGAGGTTGGAGGTGTGAGGAGATGGGAGAAGGTTTTGAATTAGTTATCATAGAGAACAGGGAGGGAATAATGAGAGTAAACTAAGGAGGTTTTTGGACATTGTTGAAGGCCTACCCACTGGAAGTTGGTGATGACATCATGAGTTAAATTTTTTTTTTTTTTTAAAGATTTTATTTATTTGACAGAGAGAGACACAGTGAGAGAGGGAACACAAGCAGAGGGACTGGTAGAGGGAGAAGCAGGCTTCCCACGGAGCAGGGAGCCCGATGCGGGGCTCTATCTCAGGACCCCGGGATCATGACCTGAGCCGAAGCAGATGCTTAACGACTGAGCCACCCAGGCACCCCAATTTTTTTTTTCCTAATGACTTTCAGGCCAGTTCTGTCATCATACTTAGTATAGTTAAAGTTCTTTAATCATTCACTTAATCATTTAATTATCAGTACCAACTTAGAAGTAAAAGGTAGGGCATAGTTTTAAAGCTTGCCAAACTAATGTTTTAAATGTGTTGGATAGAGTAAGTTTGGAGAAAGATGAAAAAGATCACTACTTTTCACTTCATTTTGATACCCTTAAATAATGGAGAACGTTTCTTGGGAATTGATTTTAAATGTGCATGCTAACTCATTTAACTTTTATTAAAATGTATGTTACCCTCGGGTAATTTGTAGAGGATTGTGAGATCAAATGTTTTAAGTTTAAACATGTGGTCTTGATGCTTAAATGCCAGAATAATATGTATTTTAATAGTAAACTCATTTTTTTCAGGTATAATTTTCAGAATGCATAGAAAGTTTTCCACCAGTGTCCTCAAATCTAAATTCATTCATTGTTAAACTTGTTTGTTTTATACAGGGTGTGATAGGTATACAGCTGGTCGTTACCATGGTGATGGCCAGTGTCATGCAGAAGATTATACCTCACTATTCTCTTGCTCGATGGCTACTCTGTAATGGCAGGTAAGGCAAAGATAGGCTGATTGTGTCTGGCACTTTCAAATCTCAGGCTGATTGATTTCCCAGAAGTTAAGTATGAATTCCTATTTTTTAAAAACATGACAAAAAGAAAGTTATGAGAAAAATCTAGCTTCCTTATTTTTCTTACTTGAGATATTAGTAGTTTATTTTTTTAGTATAAAGGTAATTGGATCATGGTCAAGAATTCACTCCTCGCTCCTTCCTGTCCCCTTTTGTCCATGGCCAATGAAAATACCAAATAACTTTTCTGTGGTTACCTTCTTAAAAGGTTGGTCAACAAGGGTATGAGACTATAAATTGAAGTGTTTAAATATTTTCACTGTTGCTGGAAAAAATGAGAGTATATGTTCTATTATTGGTGACTCAGTTGAGAGTTTATTATGAGAATTAGGGGTTCTTTGTTTTACTGCAAAGAATTTTAAACTTTAACTTGACAAGGAGGGGGCAAAGTTACTTTGTATGGTTTTAATTTTGTCTACTACACTATAAGCTTACTACTATTCCTAATCCTTCCACAAAGGAGCTAAGTTTCCTTGCTCATATTTTTACAATAAAATAATAAAATCGAAAGTAAAGAAGTTGAATTTAGGGGATATGACACAAATGCAGGAAAATTGCATATAGAAATACTTGGCAAAATCCTGTGCAATTATGAAAGGTAAGTTGTAGATTTGATACCATGTCTGTAGTTTTACTCTAATTATTCATCTCCAGTAAATAACCAAATTCTGTTTACTGATTTGTAGGTCCATTTTCTTTTGTTTAGACCTTTTGGACTTAGAAACCAATTGATAGCTCTTATCCTCCTAATGATTTTATACACTGCAAGATGAATAATAAGCCTTTATTATTAGTTCAAGGCCCTTCTATCCACAAAGCTAAATTTCCATTAGAATTTATTTTCAAGTTTAATATTCTTTATGCTTCATACTTTTTTCATATCGTTTAAATATAGAAAAATATTTGGATTGCTTAAAAATATTTTTGACCACTGATACACACACACACACGCACACGCATACATGTATGGAATATGAGAGAACAGCTGTTTAAAAACATGTTTTGTTTTGTTTTTAAAGATTTTATTTATTTGACCCAGAGAGATGGCAAGAGAGGGAACACAAGTGGGGGGAGTGGGAGAGGGAGAAGCAGGCTTCCCGCTGAGCAGGGAGCCCAATGTGGGGCTCCATCCCAGGACCCTGGGATCGTGATCTGAGCTGAAGGCAGCCGCTTAACAACTGAGCCACCCAGGCACCCCTAAAAACATATTTTATTAGCAAAGTAAATAATGACTAAAGTTTTAGTGAAGTTGAAAACCTCTATCAAGAGTATTTATAAGAGAAAAAAATTAGTCATCTGCAACTAGTTTTTAACTGTAGTCTTATGCCCTATGTAGTCTTGTTTACTTTTTTGCTTATAAAGCCCCTTTCCATAGATCATGAAAGGATAAACATCAGGTAGGGAAATTATCATTCATTCTAAATAAATGGAATCTGAAGTAATAAATTAGATAAAAAATATGTTAAGGTAACTTGTTTTCTACTGAGAATTCTGTGTTTATAGACTATGATGAGTCTCCAGGGAGACTTCCAGATCTCTTACTCTGGAAGAGTAAGGGTATAAGCAATTTCCATGTTCTTACATAATCTGCTTTCCATTTGTTTCTATAAAACTTACATTCACCAGTAAAAGCTAAACTTCAGAGATTGAAAACCTAATTCTTTTCTCTTTGTTAATATTAGAATTATGTATTATAATTAAAATCTCTACTTTTTTGACAAGACTTTCATAAATACTACTAATTTGAGGGGGAGGTAAAAATAAACACGAAGTTAATTTTTTGTGACCCTGATTTGCTTTTGTAAACAGATTAACTTTAGTGTTAATTAATGCTGTTTCTAATTCCAAATCAGGTTCCAAGGATAGCAATCCGAATTTTCTAGTAATAGTTAACTTTTCTGCTATAATTCATTTCTTCTCCTGTATTGTTTTGTTTTTAAGATCATCTATCTTTCTTTAATATTAATCCTGAAATTGTTAGGTCATGAAGTCAAATTGCTAAATGTTGTTGCCTAACTATTGAATCAGATCATTGATTTTATCCTTTTGGCATAATTATTGTTATATCATCCTTTTATGATATGAAATTATACTGTTTTAATATTGATAAAATGTAAAATGCCTTCAAAATTGCTCATGTAAAAATTTTGATCAGAAATGACTGTTTGCATTTTAAATCTTATGATGCTCTTGAGTTTAAGAAAGAGAAAGATCTGCGGGCATTCTTTATCATCTATAAAATCTTTAAAGGAATTTAAGGGTTGAGGCTCATGGCTTGGTAGTGACTATATTGAATGGAACTATTGATTAGAACTATTCAAGTGAATAGATGTGTAGATTCCATGATAGATTAATCATGAGTATGACAGAAGAGACATGTTTTTAGGTTCTGTATCTATCGTCCTAATATTTGTCCCACCAGTATCATATCTTCATATTGTAAATAAATATATTTTTCTTAACAGTATGGCTTGTCTTTTTGTGTCATATAAATTTATGTCCATATCTCTCATCAATCTCTGTCTTTTTGGAATGGAAGGTTTAAAGTGCCGTCAGATTTTTTTTTATGTTTACATAATGAGTAAGCCTCCTGCCATTTACTTGAAGAAGTCATACCTTGAAGGAATCAACAGTTTTGCTTTTATATTAGCAGCCTGTTGATTTTTAATATAAATTAGTTTCCTAGCTCTTGTTAAGTAATATATATTGCTGTTAGTATTGTATATCTCTAGTTTTTTTTCGTTACCCTGGTTTAATTCCATTAATTTCTTTTACACTATTATAAAACTTAATACTGATAAAAATTTTTATTTCTGTTATCCTGTTTGGATCCGTACACTGAACTAGGTAGCAGAGGAAATGGGTTTGTGGTATGTTAAGGCCTCAGAAATCTCTGTCTGAACATAGTTTCTCATGCCAGTTCCCCAGGTGGGAATCAGGGTCAGATGGGAGAGTCAGGAAGGGGTTGGGTAGCTCTCCAGGTGGATTCTTCACAAAATGATATTTTAAGGATTCAGCTGCCCTTGAAGTGGTGACTTAGGGAGTCTACGCTTCTTTGGACTTGTTGGCTCTTGTATTCCTCCTGCTGCCTTGGAATCTTGTGTTATAGATGCTGTGTCACTTGGCAGCTAAAGGGAGTAGGCTATGGATCCTTCAGGTGATTCAAGGGGCCAAGCTTAGAAATAGACCTATCAGTTCTGCCCACATTCCATAGGCTGGGGCCCTGTGACTCTTCAGGCCAAAGTGCAGGGGAATCTGGGAATGTAGTTTTCATTGTACCTAGGAAGTAAAAACAAGATTGGTGAGTGTCTGGTCCTTCTCTGCTGTAGGTGATATGTTTACAGATGAGAAAACAAGTTTTAACTTTACTCATATTCACGTACTGAAAAATGAAACAGATCTAGGCTTCTTATCCTGAAGTTCAGTTCACAGTATAGTATTTATTTAATGTATGGCTGCTCATCAACTCCAGATGTTGTCCTGGAACTGGCATACTTGAACAGAGTTTGGAATTTGGTGGTGGTGACAATTACTGTGACTTCTTTTGGCAGTTAACAGAGTAATTTATTTAAGATTTTTTTTTTCTACCTTTTATCTTAGTGGTACTTAGCCTTGTATAAACTATCGTTCTGGTTATATATAGTTAGTGTATGTTTGTCTTTGCTTATTGTATTCTTCTGGCTTTTCTATGACTGCATAGCCACCTTTTATTCTGAATGAAAAGGCACCTCAGCATTGATTTTGATTACCATAAAATGTGCCAAGTGTGAAGTAGAGTTTAAGAAATATCATCTGTTCAAATTATACTTCTCACCTCACTATTGAAATTAAATTTATTCCACATTACTAAATTATAAATATTTTGTACTCCATTCTTCCAGTTTTCTTTAAGAGAAAAATATTTTTCTTCTCAAAAATGTTATTCTCCTTTTTTTACATGCCTTTTTATGTGACTATCAGATTTTGTTGAGGGATTCTGCTTTAACAATAACTTAGGTAACAAAATCTCTTCTACCTGTAACCTGTGAGCATGTATTACTAACCTTGAAAAACTCAACTGTGAAGAGTCTAGTGCTCTCACTGCTCAATTCCTCCCTCTCTCCCCAAAGGGAGGAAAAACCATGGGAAGTTGGTTTCTTTGTACCTTTAGTATGAACTGCTTTCCCTAACATACACTTCTTTTTTAAAATTTTTTATTTTTTTTAAGATTTTATTTATTTGACAGAGACACAGTGAGAGGGAACACAAGCAGGGGGAGTGGGAGAGGGAGAAGCAGGCTTCCTGCGGAGCAGGGAGCCCGATGTGGGGCTCCATCCCAGGACCCCGGGATCATGACCTGAGCCAAAGGCAGATGCTTAACGACTGAGCCACCCAGGCGCCCCTTCCCTAACATATACTTCTAACAGTTGCTCAGATCATACAGAGGTGTTCTGTATCATGTCCAGCATACCACTTTATAGTAGCCAAATTATTCTCTACTTATTATTGTAATTAAAGTTCCTTTTTGTTTTGAAGTTTGCTTGGCCCCTCTTTTCATGGAGAGGTAAGTGATAGGTTACATTCTTTGTACATTTGAATAGTGGGTTTTGCATGAGGACGTAGGATTTTGCTTTTTTTTTTTTCATACTAGCTTCCTTGCTGACCTGCTTTCCATTTCCTTGATTGTTTAGCTTAAACTTTCTGCACTCTTCTCTGCCCCTTTATTTCCCGAGGCTCTCAACTTTGGTCTGTTTCTTCTTACCATATGTTTCTCATTGAAAACATGTTCTGGTTGGATTTATTTTGATTTTCTCTCATCCTATATTGGGTAAAGAGCGTGTAACAACACCTTCATATTCAATTGCTGTAATTCTTTTTGCCTGTTCTCTTTTGCATGTTGCCTGATGCAAGTATCTGCAAGTTCCCTTTGGTGAGAGAAACCT